GAGCCCCAGCACATGGGCCATCTGCTGCTGGTTTCCTAGGCAGGCTAGAAGGGAAATGAATCAAAAGTGGAGCAGCCAGACCTCAAATGGATGTCCACATGGGATGCTGGCACTATAGGCAGCAGCAATATCTACCACACCGCATCTTTCCCCCCCCACCCAGACTTAGTAGATCTTTTTAAAAATCATGCTCTTCTCAAATATTATATTCCAAGTATAAACTTATTGACAGGAATACTATTCATGCAAACTCTAAAAATATAATAAACAAGTTATCTAAAGAGGTCCTGAACTTGGAAACATTACTCTACCTTTAAATTTGATGTCAGGGTAACAACACTTAGGATCTATACTCTGTCCCAATAAACTGATGCTTGTGTGACTTCAAATAAGGCATTAATTATTTCTGATTTTTCTTCTCTTCATCCATAAAATGAGTAACAATCATTCATAATGTTAATGTCAAGAACATTAGAAACTATAGAAAATAATAATGCAAAAGAGTTTCTGATAAAAACCACAGGTACAAATTTCATAAAACACCATGATATAATGTAAAATGCTATAGACTACAGTGATATTAAACACACTTGGATTCCAATCAATTTTGATAACCAGTGAGTAGAAGGTCTTTGTTCCTTCCTCAAGGTTAGCATTTAAATAGAAATAATAAAAAAATTTGGCTCATCATAAATTTTCACAATAATTTTCAAAGTTTTAAATGTGTTAAAGTATTCACCGAACCCCGTGGTTTGATACGCCTTGAATCTGTTGCAGACTCTTAGTTACATTCTGTACTCTAATACTGGACCTGAAAATTTGATCTGCCAAATACAGGAAGTTAGAGAAACATCTCTAGGGTCTACAACTCTGATCTGTGAGAGAGAAACTTAAATCTATAAAGTGATTTAGTGCATGCTTATAGTTCGTGCAGCCTGATTGTGTTAAGGAAATTAATCGTTTGTAACACAGACATAAATTGTCCAAACAATTTTTAAAGGCTATGATAATATTAGTGGGAAATTCACTGTGACTAAAATCTCAGCTCTTCACAAAATTTTTGGCTTTCCTACACTACCCTCTTTGTGGTCCATCTCAAAAGGCGGCCCATTTTTGTTTTGCTGTTTAATTGACTCTCTCATTCATTGGAGAAATTAAATTTCCCTATGCATTTTATGACAATAGATGAGTTCATTCGTTTTGCTTTGCTTCTCCAAGGCTATGAAAAGGAAAGCTAAAACATAATGGGAGCAGAAATAATTCATGTGGAGGTGGATTGTGCAGTGTGAATTTAGTCTTTCTAACTGCCCTGTCGTCTCCAGCTCCCACACCCTAACACAAACCAAGCGCACAGATGGGATCATGATTAAGGGTGGGGATTATAAATTAATCTAGTTTGCCTGGGTGGTTAAGAGAGTGATAACAACAGGGTGTGGTAGGGTTAATTATTTTCAAGAAAGAATCTTCAGCTTCATCTGAGTGTGCATGTCTTTCCATCCAGAGGGAAGAGGGACTTTCAAAACATCATCGTTAAACAGATCGGAAAGGGGGCTGATGCAGTGGCTCTGCAAATCAATCCTCTTGCTGAAGCACCAGTATCTCAATATGACCACTGGTTTGTGTTCCAGCTATTCCACTTCTCATCCAGTTCCCTATCTGTGGCCCCTGGGAAAGCAGTAGAGGATGTCCCAAAGTCTTGGGACCCTGCGTCCACACGGCAGACTCGGAAGAGGCTCCTGGCTCCCAGCTCTGAATCAAGCTTGACTCCAGCCATTGCGGCCATTGGGAGGATGACATCATAAACCAGCCAAAGGAAGCTCTCTCTCTCTGTTTCTCCTATCTTTAAGTCAGCCTTTCAAATAAAACTAAATCTTTTGAAAAATAGAATCAAAAAAATCTGTTAAAATATCTGCCTCATTGACGTTGTGCTTCTTAATATTTGTTTATTTGAAAGATTTATTTATTTTTAGTGGAAAAAGAGACCTACACAGAGAGAGAAAGGTAGAAAGAATGAGAGAGAGAGAGCTCTTCTATCTGTTGCTTCACTCCCCAAATGGCCACAAGCTAGGGTTGAGCCAGGCCAAAGCCAGGAGCCAGAAGCTTCTTCTGGGTTTCCTGCGGGGATACAGGGCTCCGAGCACTTGAGCTATCCTCCATTACTTTCCCAAGCCACAAGCAGGGATCTGGATGAGAAGTGAAGCATATGAACTCCAGCCATTATGGGATGCCAGCACTTGCAGATGAAGCATTAGCTATTAGCCATTGCACTTGCCCCATGCTTCTTAATATTACATTCCTTCCCCCGAAAAAGAAAGGAAGAATTAAAAATTGATTTGTTAAACTCCCAGTACTGATTCCAAAAAGACCATTAAAATGTTCTGGAGAACAGAAACCCAGTGGTCAGAGTTTTTCATTTTGTTTGTTTTAATATTTCTGCTTCCAGAAACTTAAGTATAAATATATTCTAAGGAACTAAAATACTGTTTGCTCACTTCTATTCAAGTAAATGGGGGCCTAACTTACCTACAGGAGATTAATAGAAATAACAAATAGAACATGCTCAAAAATTTAAATTTCCCCACTGGCAATTACTGTTATTTTTGCAATCTCTCAGTGGTACTTTAATCAAGAACAGACTTAAAAAATTAAGATGGGAGTGCTCCTCTAAGATATAGATATAGATATGAATTGCAGAAAAGCTTCGAGTCAAAACTTAAGAGATTTAACAGTATTGATTGTTTTTTTTCTTTTATTGGTATGAATGCATTTATATGAACCACTAAATTTCACTGGCCCGTAGAAAATGGTGAACAGTGTTGACCGGTGGCTCTCAAAGTAAGTCGCATCATCTTTAGAGGCACAAAAGCAGTCACATTAACGGCGGAAAAGGAAAAAGCGTAAGGAGTTCACCAGGGATTGTCTGTAGAGGGGTCGGAGGAGACAGCGCGCGCAAATGGTGTGTCAGAGAAAAACCTGAATTTCCAGGAGAAAACGCTGCCTCCGCCATTTGATATCATTTCGCTAATATCCGGGGCCACCTCAAAGGGTTCGCATAAAATGGAATTGACAGGTTCACTTCTGCCCCATCCTTACATTTTCTCAATACATATAGCATGTTCTCGTAACACGCAATTCCCGTAGATTTTGAAGACCCCCTCCTAAAGCCATTGCTATTAGGATTGCACCGGCGCGCATTTGTGCAGCAAACATTTACTGAGCGCGTACTACGTGCTCCAGGCAGGATTGAAGGAGATGGCCGGCGGCAGAGGCTAGGCCGCCCCGAGAAGGTGCAGGGTGGGTCCGGGGCGTGTCCAGTCGGCCAGGTACCCCGGGGGGCCAGGGCGCAGGGCCACTCCCACCGCCCTCCCTGCCGCCCCGGGCCTGCCTCTCCAATCACTCCTGAGCTAACCGGTAGGTGCATCCTGATTGGAATGCGGTCTTGAAGAGGAGGGTGGATCCAAGCGGCAGGGCTTAAGGCCGAGAGGACGTCTCCTGCAGCTTGGGACCGAGGAGCCACTTTCCCTCTTCCCCTGGAAAGCAGGAGGTGCAGGAAGGACCCCGGCGCGGCGCGGCGCGGTGGCCCTGGGTAAGTCCGCTTTCACCGAGTTTCCTTCTTCCGATATTAGGCATGCAGGCGTGGAGTGGGTTTACTCCTTAGATTGCATCGGTTCTGCCTACCCAGCGCGAGGCGCACGTTGGCCGACGGCTGCTTAGGGCGCCTCCTGCCGCAAACTTTAGATTTCGGGTTGAAAATTCCTTGATGTTGCAGTTTTAAACTTTGAAAATGTCCTGTACATACTTATGGTTTATTATGATATGTAGCTACTTGTATCCGTCTTAAAATGTTTTTTTTATCATCAGGATAGTGGGCCTATCTGTCCTGTCTTTCACTCCCCACCCCAATTCCTTCAACAACAAATAAAGAAGAAAAATCCCCTAGGACAGCTCTTTCCCAAGTCCTGTTTCGTTGACCTGGCCGGTGTAGCCCGGCAGCAAACAGAATGCTTTGTTCCTTCTGTTTTCCTGTCCTCTTCCATTTCCTGTTCACTGCCTTCACCTGCTCCAAGGCCCTGGAAATCCTTTCTTAGATGACTGAATGGCGTGAGAAACTTTTCTATTTCCATTCCCGCGTCCCTCTTCTCATTCTACTAACCGCAGCCTGGGTAATCTCTTTAAAGGAAGCCAGAGCATGCTGTTCTTTTGTTTGAAAGCCTGACGTGGTTTCTACTCGTCCTGGAATGAAATGTAAATGGCTCCCGGCTTCCACCAGGTTGGGCACCCCGGGGAGACCCAACTTCCTTTCTGAGCACCATCTTCTTTGTCCGCCATATTCTGCAATCAAGATGGCTTCCGCCTCCCCTCCCCCACCAAGCTAGTCTTTGTATTGGCAGCAGCCACCGGCTGGCGCTATTGTTTTTAAAGCTCTCTTCTTGGAGGCCTTTTCAATGGTTGACTGTAAAGATGCCCTCCCTCACTTACATGTCTCTCATACTGTTTTTCTTTGTTTTAACTTTTATTTTTCATTTACCGTTTGTCTAAGGTGTTCTGTCTTCAACACCTACAATTATGTTTGGAAGTAAATATTTCTCAATACACGTCTAGAAGTATTTCCATTCCTGTTGAAGGAATATAAAAATATTTATATTATTGTTAGGCATTTAGTATGCATATTTTTTCTCATCCTATGTTTCCCCAGTAAAATGTGAGAATGTGTGTCATGTAAAGTCACTTAATAAGTGATATGCTGTGGTGAGAAATGAAGGGTCTAACCTAGAAAAATAAGGGCTGTCCTGGGACATTGGAAGATCTGTAAAGAAAATCGCTGTCTGGCTAGCCATACTCCCTTAGGAGATGTTTTTTTTTAGATACCATCCATGCTTTTAGCTTTTTGAAACTTCTACATTAAATGTGTCTAATGATTCCCAGTAAATTAATTACATAGGATTGTTGAGTCAGACACCAGTACCATGTCTAATATATTCATCAATTCATTTCATTAGACAACAAAGTGCGGAGACTTTGGTCTACAACTGGAAGAGGCCCTTGTCATCACAGAACGTACTTACAGGTAAGATGGACCTTACCCAAGCCACACCAAGACCTCTCGTCTGAAAGAGGCAGTTGGGCTAACATTTCAAACCCAGCTGAACCCTAGGAGCGAGGGAAGCCTACCTGAAGAGGGCATGCTGAAGTGGAAGGAGTGTTAGCATTAGGAAGAGAGGAGGATGAGTAGTTTAACGAGGGGGAAGAGGTGATCTAATTTAGAGGTGAAGGGCGCTGTTGGTGTTTTAGCCAAGTGATTTGGTTAATTCTGCAAAGTTGCAAGGGTTAATTTGTTTATGTTTGAGGGGGCTAATATTCCTGGATAGTTTTCCTGGTTTATTTCACCTTTTTGAAGGAGTAATATGGTATTTCACACATGCACGTACAGACTCCTTCCTTTGCAGCTGAAATATATACGTATATATTTATAGCTCTTGCTCAAAATAAGTGTAACGATTCTGGTGTTATTTAAATGTGGCTAATTTGAAAGTATTTTAGATTGTTAATTTTTACCTCACTACTTACACATTAGCCTCTTTTTAAAAAAGCATTTTGTATTCTTGCAGCAAAATATCAACAATAAGGAGATCATTTATTAAGCAGAAAATTTACATTTAACAAAAGCTTCTATTAAAAGTATTATTATTAGAGCTTGGCACAGTGGCTTAAAGCTGGGATTCCAGAGGGCAGTGCATGTCCCAGCTGCTTTACTTACTTCCTAACGAGCTTCCTGCTTATGTCCTGGGAAAGCAGTGGAAGATGGGCCAAGTCTTTGGGACCCTGCATCCACGTGGGAGAAGGTGGACAGATAGAGGTCTACTGTTCACTCATTCATTCTCCAAGTGCAAGAAGCACAGGCTAGAACTCTTACGTGGGTGACCGGGATCCAATTACTTGAGCAATCATTGCTGCTGCCAGGGACATCAGCAGGCAGTTAGGATCAGAAAGAATCAGGACTTCAATCCAGACACTGCATATGAGATGCAGGATTCCTAAGCAGCCCTTTAATCACCACACCAAGCAGTCATCACACTTCTATGTCTTCAAAATGTATTTTAGCAGTAGCGTGATAGAAAAAGTGTATGAGTGAGAGAGAGCCTCGACTCCTCCAAGGCTTGCAGTAGCTGGGGCTGGGTCAGGCCATAGCCAGGAGCCTGGAGTTCTGTCCTGGTATCCCAAGTGGATGGCAAGGACTCAAGTTTTTGAGCAACATCACTGATGCATTCTTGGGGAGCTGGATGGGAAGCAGAGTAGCCACTACAGCTGGTATTTCTGATGTGGTTGTCCCAAACAATGGATTAACTTGCAGTGTCACATTTACATTTGAAGAGATGAGGCTGGCACCCATGGTGCAGCACAGTAAGCATCTGCATGAGGTGTCAGCAAATATATGAGTGCTAGTTTAGGTCCTGGCTGCTCCATTTCTTTTTTTTTTTTTTTTAAGATTTATTTTATTTTTCATTGGAAAGGCGGATATACAGAGAGCAGAGGCAGAGAGGAAGATCTTCCGTCCCATGATTCACTCCCCAAGTGAGCGCAACGGCCGATGCTATGCCGATCCGAAGCCAGGAGCCTCTTCCGGGTCTCTCACGCGGGTGCAGGGTCCCAAAGCTTTGTTTGGGCCGTCCTGGACTGCTTTCCCAGGCCACAAGCAGGGAGCTGGAAGGGAAGTGGGGCTGCCGGGATTAGAACCGGCGCCCATATGGGATCCTGGGCATGCAAGGTGAGGACCTTAACCACTGCGCCACCGCACTGGGCCCATGGCTGCTTCATTTCTAATGCAGTTCTCTAATAATGGTCTAGGAAAGCAACAGAGGATGGCTGAATTCCTTGCGCTTGTACTCACGTGGGAGATGTGGGAGATCTGGAAGAAGCTTCTGGCTCCTAACGCAGTTCCGGCTGCTGCAGCCATTTGAGTAAATCAATAGATGGAGGATCCGTCTGTCTCCCCTTTTTCTGCAACTCTTCTGAATAAAACTAAATTTCTTATTAAAGAAATGATGAAAAACTATTCAGGACCAAATTACCTTTGATCTTTACTTTAGCTTGCATTCCTAAGAGATCTAAGTGCCATGTATTTTGCATATCATTCTCTGGGTCCCCAGAGCACAGAGCAAAATTCACCATGTCCAGTCTAGACTAGTCTACTTCAAACCCAGTACCCTGCTCCTGTACCTGGGGAGCAGCGAGTATCCAAGTTTCTGACACCCACTTGGGATATCCGGGTGGAATTCCTAGCCATTGCGTTCAACCTGGCCCACCCTAGCTGTTGCAGCCATTTGGGGGAATAAAAAGTATATATAGGCATGTCTTTTTTTCTCCCTCGCCTTCAAGTTTTTAAGCAACTGCCATTATTTCAGTATAGGTATGTCTGAGTGCATTGTTTAAAATTGTAAGTCCCTGCTTTCCACCAGCCCCTATGTTTATTCTAAAGCATTTAGTAACTCTATGCTATTTTTTTATATTCTCATGGGGATATCTGTATCTTGGAGGCATAGATTGTTGTCTATTTACTGACCTTGACATAGGCAATGAATGCATGCCCTAGAATAGAGCTAGCACATAAGGAAAGCCCAGTAAGTATTCGATGACCAATTGGAGAGGCCATTATTACAGATTAAATCTTAGGCCAAAGCTCCTTGCCTTTTTATCTCTTGGGGAGGGAAGATGTCAGTTTAGCCATTCTGTGATTTAGAAAAAAAGAATTTAAGGTCTTTCTCTGACGTTGATTTGTTATCCTAAAGCAGGTGCTTGCTGAAGACAACTTCACCAGATCACAACTTCCTGGAAGTGTTTGGAATATTCTGGTGCAGATTTTCAAGGAGCCGGCAAGCAAGAAGACATGAGCCAGCAACTGAGAAAAAGGGCCAAGAATGGTGGCCAGAAGAGCTCTGGAGGGAGAGCCCTCCGGAGCACTAAAGCGAAGCAAGCCAAGCCAAGCCAAACGCAGCAGGCCAAAGTGGAGGCCCTCGAGCCGACGTGGCCCTTCCGTGATGAGGACGCGTGCTTTGCGGGTGACCTTCCAGGTGCGGGAGAGGATGGCTTCCCTGACTGCTACATAGAATGTGTCATCCGAGGTGAGTTTCCTCAGCCGCTCCTGGAGGATGACTCACTTTTTAAGTCTTTTGAGGGAACCGAACAAGATCTTTCCCAGCAAGTTCTTGAAGCAAGCTCTTTTCTTGAACGTTCTTTGGAATACATGAAAAAGGAGGAAAAACAGCAACTTCCTCAACAGGAGGTTGGAAAAAATTCACGTCCCGGGTATTCTGAGTACCTGACAGGCAAGAAGCTTCCTCCTGGAGGAATGCCTGGCCTTGACTTAACGGATCCCAAACAGCTGGCAGAGTTTGCTAAGAAGTCGAAAGCAAATGAGTGTAATGAAGAGACATTCGCTTGTCCTGAGAGTGGATGTACCAAAAAGCTGAGGGATAAAACTGCCCTGAAAAAGCATCTGCTCGTTCACGGCCCCCGAGACCATGTCTGTGCTGAATGCGGGAAGGGCTTCTGCGAGAAGTCAAAGCTGAAACGCCACTTTCTGGTTCACACCGGGGAGAAGCCCTTCCAGTGCACCTTTGACGGATGCGGAAAGCGCTTTTCCCTGGACTTCAATCTGCGCACACATGTACGCATTCACACTGGAGAAAAACCTTTTACGTGTCCCTTTGACGGTTGTAACAAGAGATTTATTCAGTCAAATAACCTGAAAGCTCACATCATAACTCATGCAAAGGCGAATTAGAATCGGTGGAAAGAAAAGACGGAAAAATAGCTCCCCGATGGGACAAGTGTATTTACAGAAGCGAGATTGAGAACAAGTATGCCTTTTTAAATATTGTTTACAGCAAGGAGGTTTAAAATCAATACTGCGACCCTTGAAGGCGTATCTTCCTGTTAGTAAGGTGCTTTAAGTACTTGGTGGTACCTACTTTTAGAACCTTGTGTGTTCAAAGTCTGTTTCTGACTAGAAGGTCAGTGATAAATTACTTTAGATCATTGTCTTTAATGCATTTTGTATAAGCTGAATAACTATCGTACTTGTTTTCACATACTATGAATATGAAAGTAATGTTTTGATTTTAAATTTTGAAGTTTCCTATTACCTTTCTCTTTAAGAAATATACCTCATAGTACCTCTAATAATCCTGGAGAATGGAAATTTTTATGATAGCAAACAAATGAACGAGTAGTTAAACATTTTTTTCAAGCTTGATGTGTTTTCTTTTCGTGACTTTTCTGTGGTGTCACTATGTTGAAATCAGGTGTGAGTGCTGATTTGTAGTATTAAGTAATGTTTCAGAAATGGATGGACAAAGACTCAGAAATCTGGATTTTAAAAATGAAGTGTGTGTTTTAAAAAGATGCCATTTATGTATCTTTTTAAATGAACAAAATGGACTGGTACAGTGGTGTAGCACGTTAATGTCCCTCTTGCAAGCACAGACATCCTCTGCGGGTGTCCAGTCGGTGTCCTGGCTTCTCCACTTCTGACCCAGCTCTCTGCTTCAGATCTGGGAAGGCAGTGGAGGATGGCTGAAGACCTTGGGCTTCCATTGCACATGAGACCAGAAAGAAGCTCTGGCTTCAATTAGCTCAGCTTTGGCTAATGCAGCTATGGGGAGTGAAATCAACGCATGGAAGACCTCACTGTCTTTCCTTCTATAAAAATCTGCCTTGTAAATAAAATAAATCATTAAAAATTAACTTAGAATTGCACTGATGTTCTGTATGGGTAAAAATTTGCTGCTGTTTAAGATAAAAATTGCTGCAGCCCGGCCTGTTGTCTAGATTGCTCTCTTCAGAGGGCTGTGAGAGAGAGCTGTGCTCCTGGCTTCTCTCTTTGAAGAGAGTTTGTACATGGCTGTGTTCAAGTTTCTGTGGTGCCCTCTCTTCATCTCCCCCCATCCTTCTACTTGTCGGTATCCAATTCCCTGTTACAGGTGCACCAGTCATACTATATTAGAATATGTCCCGGAGGCTTCATTTTTAACATTGTAACTTCTGCAAAGATTCCATCTCTAATACTGGAGTCACATTCTGAGGTACTGGAAGTGAGGATTTTAGTATAAGAGTTTTGGAAGGGCTACTTCAAGCCATAATGTATATTATTTCACACCTAGTAACTAATTCCTAAAATGCTACTTAACAGAAATATTACCCTAATATACACAAGTATTTATTTAAGGGAAAAAAATTAATAAAAATCTTAAAATATGCATTAAGAGGAATAGATTATAAATCGTATAGAAAATAAGCACATGTCCTCAAAGCTTGATTACAGGGGCAGGAAAGGCCATAACTACAGGAAAATGGTTAAGAAGTTTATTTTTAATAAATGGGATAGACTGGTATATTTATATGCTGTAGCAGAAAATTCTATGAAAATTATTAAATGTGGATATTGGGCAATTGGAATTGTCCAAATGTAGATAGAAATAAAGTTTAATACAGTAGTTAACTTACTGTTATGATTTAAAAGTATTCTTGGGTCTGCTTTTGTGGTACAGTTGGCTACATTGCAGTGTAATACCACATGACCCTTGGCGCCTGGTTGCTTCACCTCCCATCCAGTTCCCTGGTAATGCAACTGTGAAAGCCGGGAAAGATGGCTCAGCTGCTTGGGTCCCTGCAGCAACACATGAGACACTGACTTATACATGTGTGTGTGTGTGTATTTCTAGGCTCTTGGCTGCTGAGACCATTTGGGAGATGAATCAGTAGATGGAAGATAGCTCTGTAACTCTCAAATAAAATTTAAATGATTTTTAGGTTAGAATCAACCTATATTGGGCAGAGAAATGTGTGACTATTAGATTTTGGGATTCATTTTCCTCTAAAAATTAGCATTATAAATAGGTATAGTTAAAATACTGATTTTCAAGTTTAAGAAACTTAAGAAGTTCTGCTAATAGGTATTATAAGGAAAAGCAAACCAGTATACAAAATAAGCGAGTCAAGCTTAAGATGACTCTTGAATTTTAAAAATGACAAAATGAAAAACAAATTTAAGTAAAACAGCAAATAAAAGATTTACATTGCTGCTTATAGATTCTTACGGAAGTTTAAGCCTAAAATACATTTGGTTTGACATTTCTGTAGGAATAGGGGTGTTTAGTCCAAATGAAATGGAATACTGGACACATAATCCATGTATAAGTCTGGAATTTTCTTCAAATTAAACACCTGAGTATAGGGTTTAGGTTACAGCTTTGGTATTTGATCAAGATGATGGAACATATGTTTGCTAATTTTTGCTTTGGTAGCAGTGTGTTTGATTTGGTTCTCCATGGATTTCTGCTTCAGAGCTGAATGATGACATAGCTGAATGAAGACTTAGGAAAAGACAGGTGTAAGGAGGGAGCGACCCAACCCAGACATGTCAGCAGCGGGGTGTAAGCCCGTCGCTCTTGAGAACTGAGGCTCCGGGCATCAAAAGGGATCCAGATTGGCTTCCTGCCTCCCAGTGAAACCTGTTGTCATTTCATAGAATCCTTTCTCTGGAGCTGAAGTGTTCAGAAGCTCAGTGTATGCAATCCTAAAGATTAGATGTTTAAAGAACAGCAATCTGAGGAAACGCTAGGGTGGCTGGATTTCAAGGCTTGGTTAAATCCTGATTTGGGAATAGGATGCTGCTTGGCTAGCCTCAAAGCTGGTTTTCTGTTTTTAACCCCTAAAACCACTGGGAATGTAAGAAGCAGGATATGGATACAGTGGAAAAAGGAAACGGAGATGTAATGACAGTATATCACCTGAAAAATTTGTTAATGTCTCAAATGTACAAATATTCACATAGAGATGAGCACAAAAATAATAGAACAGATAATCAGAACACTGGAAAAAGTCCATCTAGGAAGTTACATGCTTCTCCATGCAGGCAGTTTAGAAACCCCAAATTCTGATGAATGAAGAGGTATTTTTCTGCTTTTGGTACTTTTATTATTATTATTATTATTCTGGCATCATGGCCTTAATCTTTCTCTTTTGTTTTCGTTTTTAGTACCCAAACCTCAATACTAGGAAGGTTTCACCACAGAGAGGTTTTCTACAAAAAACTGCAACTCAACATTTGTATTTTTAAGCTTTTCTGTGTAATTAAAGTATACGACATGTTTAGCCATTAACAGTGAAATGATTAAGCAAATTAAATCTACAGTTCCCTGCCTGTAAGGACATTAGCAATCTACTCTGAGCAAGTTTTCCATGTACAATACTATATAGTTAGCTGATATTCTCAGGCTGTCCTTTAGAGCTCTAGATTTCCAGGATATAGAAGAACTGTTTATACTACAACGTTGCCCTTTGCTTGCTTCTTCCTCCTCTACCCCACCACCTGCTGTCTACCTGTCCACTCGAAGTGTTCAAGGTTTTGCTTTTGCTTTTACTTTGCACAGATAAGTGTGATCATGCAGTATTCCTTGTGTATCTGGATAAATTCTCTTAGCATAATGTCCCCAGGCTTATCTATATGGTCACCATTGGAGGCATGTCCTTTATTTTTAAATAATGCATTGTATTCTGTTATATGTATATAAGCATAGCACCATTTATTCCTGCATCCAATGATGGATACTTGAGGTATTTCGATACTTTGGTTTTTGTAAATTATGGTGCAGAACTAATGTAGGAGTACAGATGTGTCTATGGAGCAATAGTTTTGTTTCTTTGGTTATATACTAACACTGGGCTTGTTGGGTAATATCACAATCTGGTTTTTGATTTCATGCTGTTTTTACAATATCTGTACCAATTTGTATATTTATATATTTTCTCTACAACTTCTGGTTTTTTGATAGCCATACTATCAGATGTGAGATGTTAGTTACTTGCATTTATTATTGATAATTAATTATTTAGAGAGCATTTCTTCAAATATCTATTAAACGTTTAGATGAGTGCACCTTTTAAGAAATGCCTACTGAGGTTCTTGTCTGGTTTTAAACTTTATTTGTTTGAATTGCGATTCCCTGAATTGTGTCAGTATTTTATGTATTTTTAAACATGTTTGTAAATGTTTTCTTCCAGTTCCAAAACTGTCACTTTTTTTTTAAATTTGAAGGCAGACTTACAGAGTAAAAGATGTTCCATCTGCTGGTTCACTCCCCAAATGGCCATATTAGCCGAAGCTGAGCCGACTTGAAGCCAGGAGCTTCTTCTGGTCTCCCACATGGATTCATGGGCCCAAGAATTTGGGCTATCCACTGCTTTCCCAGGCCGTAAGCAGGGAGCAGGATGGGAAGTGCAGCAGCCAAAAGCTGAACCTGCACCCAAATGGGATCCCAGAGGTTTGCAAGGAAAGGACTGGCTAATTGAATCATTGCTCTGGGCCTAGACTGTCGCCTTTTAGCTTGTTGATTGTTTCCTTTGATGTGCAGATTTTTTTTTTAAATTTGCTGTAATCTCACTTATATAGTTTTGCTATTTTACCTGAGCGAATGATGTAAGATACAAAAAAATCCTTGCCAAAACTACTATCAAAGGTATTTTCCCTGTACTTTTCTTTTGAGGTCTCTACTGAAATGCATTTTAAGTTTTTTTTTTGGTATGGTATAACAGCTTGCTGTACTCTTTTGCATGTGAAATATAGTTTTTCTAGCACCATTTATTGAGGCATATTCCTTCACCATTGTGTTTTAGTACCCTTCTCAAAAATTGATGCATTTGTTATGGGGCTTTCTGTTCTATTCACATTGGTCAATGTGCTTTTAGGTCATCAGCCACCACAGTTCTAACTATTGTAGCTTG